AAATTTCTAAGGAAAAAAAAAAAAAAAAAGTAAATACTTTCAATAATCGTGTACAATAATGCTCCAAATTTCACAAAGAAATACTGAAAAGGAAAAAAGGAACAAACTTGTTAAACATTACAGGAAATTTGTTGCAAATACTTGGGTTAGTTTTTTTAAATTGGTATACTTAGGCTAGTTTTCAGCAAAATTGCCCGAAAGTAAATATTTTCTCTACCTTAGATAATATAAGATCAATGGGCTGAAATTATTTTTTGAATGTAGTCTGTCTAAGTAAACTTTAAAATATATATATGGAAACAAGTTCAAACATTTACATCTCAGTGATAAAAAAAGTCAAGCAGTCTTAATTTAGGGTACGTTACAGCAAAAGTGGATATTAACTTTTTGCTCAAACTAAAAATAAACCATTAAGATTCTACGTACTAAAGAGTAGGTTGTGTTGTGGTGGTGTAGACATAAGAAACTATTTATAAGGAATGGTATGAATTAATCACCTTATATATGTCAATAATAGAACGGAATTTTATATTTCTTGGTATTCCTTGTTTCAAACGATAGTAATCTTGATCTTTTTCATATCTCATTGGAAGTTTTGAGCCACCATCAATGTTTGTATCTTTTAAAGTGCGATCAGAATTATTTGGGAGACTGTCTTCACTTGTGATGACGTTGAGATCAAATTCACCTGGAAATCATGTATAACCAAATGATAGGGTCTGATACATCCGACCCAAATATTTTGAAAACTTAATAGCATAAGCCAATAGTGAAATATAAGATTTCTTAATACCATTGATGTCTTCTTCTTCTTGTTGTTTTTCAGGTAGTTCCTCCTTGAAAGAGCTCGCTTGCTCCTTTCCATTTTTGCTTCCATTCTGTTCTGGAGGTCTTACATTCTGTATCACCTCCTTACCACTTTCCTCTTTATTTTCATTAGGTGACTGGAGATAGGAAAAGTGTTATGTCAATAAAAGAGCATGATCAACGAATTATCGAAAATAAAACATTCATGTTCACAGAAAGTAAAATATTCCTCAATATTAAAAGGTTCATAGGTGAAAAATAAAGTAAAATATTCTCTTGGTATTAATAGGTGCAAGTTGAAAATCAAAAGTACTATAATGAAAGTCCAATTACTAATGTGAAGCTCTGTATTAGTAATTAAATAAGTTTTGAATAATGTCATATGTCGCACTGAACCAATTCTAGAAATATTAAAAAAGATATTCGTGCTTTTTTCTTGAGAAAAATATGCAACAGGAGAAGAATTTATTTATTTATTCACCTTGGTATGGATTAATGGATCAAACAAATTAAATCAAAGTATATAAGTCAATCAAAAAATTAAATTCTAGTATGGTGATGACATAAATAAATAAACATAAGACATGAATTACCTGGTTGGGGTCAATAATATTATTGGAGTTTAACATTGTACTCTCTAGTATTCCTTGTTGTACATGATAGTCTACATCTTTTCCCTCTTTCATCGGAAGCTTGGAATTATTATCAACGTTATTGTCTTTAAGGGCACGATTAGAATTTTCTGACAAGTTATTTTCCTCTAAAATTGTATTGTTGTTAAAATCATCACCTGGAAATCATACGTAACCAAATTAATAAGAAGGAATAATACAAATGGAACGAAGATCGAATGATTCTTTTAAGTTACTTTTAAAAAGGTTGTATCCTATGTAAATTACCCTTTTGTTTTTGTTTTTCACATAGTATCTCTATGGAAGAGGCCGCTTGGTCCTTTTCAATTTTGTCTTCATCCTTTTCTTCAGATCTTTGGGTCTGAATCTTCTTGCTGGTATTCTTTTTGTTTTTCTTTGGTGATGGGTGCAAATTAAACATATACTGTGGAATATGAAAGGCAATATCAATACGTTATTTAAATTTAACAATTTATGCTCGCACAGAGTAAAATCTTAATTCCCCCAATATTAATGGGTTCATAGTTGGAAAACAAATTAAAGTATTGGAATGAAGAAAGAGTTTAAATAATTAATTAACCACTAAGTGAAGTTTTCTACTCTTAAATAAAGCAGATTTGGAACTTATATATATATATATATATATATATATATATATATATATATA